GCTGCCCCGCGGGGGGGGGCCCCGCCCCCCAAAAAAACTTCCCCCACAAAACTTCTTCCCCCAACAGCCCGGGCTCCTGCCCCGCTCCCGGCGTCCCGGGGAACGGCACCTGCAGCAGGTGCTGGCTTCGACACCGAGCGGGGCTTCAGCACCGAGCGGGGCTTCAGCCGCTTCAACACGCAAGCTCAGGCGGCGGGCAGCCGGGTGTCAGGGCGGGTCACGTTTAAACTGTTCCCCGCTCACCCCGTCTTCGGCCACCTGCTCCTAGCCAGAAGAAGCTGCTGCACCCCTGGCTTGTGCCGAGCCCACTGCTGGGGTGCTCGCACCTCGAAACGGGACGTCGAACCGGAGCCGTGTTAAACAGCAAAGTATTTTTAGGGGAGCGAAAGTTTTCTGGTGGGCGAGCTGTTTCCAGGTCTGCAGCTAACTGCCCGACCAAGCAAGTTGCAACACTTGGGAACGGGATGGGACCTGTGGGACGTGCGGGCACGCAACCCGTTCAAACGACGGCAGAACGGAACCACGGCCTTCGTTTAGCTACTAAACAACAGCAGCAAGACTTTAAACCGGCACGGAAGGGTCAGCTTAAGTGGATACTCCAGCCAAGTCAAGCCACGGTTCCTTGGCTGTCAGTAACAGATAGGTGTGCCGCCAGGTCACCCTGCACCACCGATGTGTGTGGACAGATCAGGAGTGGACAGAAGCATGTCACTTTTATGTCACTTTTCTTCCACAAATATGTGACCCGGCTTCAGGTCATACGGACAGACACTACCTGATCCAGCGTCAAGCCTCCTGTCAATTTTTTAAATACATTTAAACCATCGGCACAAATTTATACAAAGTCAATGTTTTGCCATGTAGCTGCAGTATTTTCAATGCAGTAATAGGAGCCGTGAAGTTAGATTTACTGTCGACGCGTGGCCAGAGTGGGGTTGGAAGCCAAAAATAATGCTCAGGGTAATTTTATTGATGACAGTCAAAATTTAGGGCACATTTTAACAAGCAGTTAGACGAGAGAGTGCTGGGGACAAAAACCTTAATGCGTCCATACTCCCATTCCTGCAATGACTGAACGCTGATATTTTATTTAAACTACATTAAAACATTAAGTTGAAACTCACCCTAAATGGTTAGTCAGTATTTAAAACACCACTGTGCTCCAGATGTGCTTGGATGCCAATTTTAATAACTAATTAAATTCATCTCAAAACTAATTAAAGACACCAAAACCAACTTACATCAACTATACTGTAATTAAAGCTATTTCGAGATGTAACATGCTGGGAGTCCAAAATATTGTATCCAGTTTTCATTAAACTTCTCAAATATATCCTGCCCAAACATAACACAACTTCTTACATTAAAATCATATAAAGATTCATGGTGAAATATTCTCAGTCTGCCAAAATTAGCAACAAAGACTAAATTGAAAATTTCTATTAACCTTACAACTAAAGAAATTATTTTAGAAGAGCTGTGTTCAAGTTAGTAATATTTGTTATGGTAAAAAACTGCACTTACAGCATTTCTTTAGTGTCCGCACATGGCTTGAACAGGTAAAATCGAGAAGGTAGTTCCACTCTTTTTCTCAAGATAATTTCTAAGTCAGTTTGTTTTACATAGTGTACTTGGTGTCTCGATTGAAACTATCGGAGGGGATGTTTAATTCTCAATCAATAAAATGGCTTTGCTGTACGGGAGATTTTTAAACTCTCCCTACTCAGATGTGTAAGGACAAGTAGGTCAATCCTGCAGATACTGATGAATATGAAACTGTTTCAGTGTAGACTCAGTGTAACTTCTCACACGTTCTATACGAAGGTTATTTTGTAGTGCTAGACCCAATAAAGTAGGGCTTTGCGAGGTACCTAAATACCTGATGATCTGACATCTGCAGTAAGGTGCATGAGTAGGCTAGGCTGCTAAGCAGTTATTCAGAAATTTAAAGTGGCTCTACACAAGCTAACGAAGCATTTGAACTAACTTTGGAGAAAGGGAAGCCTGAAGGTTTTTGACATTGAGAGCGTTACCTTTGT